ATGGGCCAGGCCTGCTCTGTGGGCGCGCCAGCCAGCTCTGTGACACGAGCCTGGGAAGTGCCAGGCCCTGCTCTCACCTGATCCCCGCCCCCACCCACCTGGCCCATCTGAGTCCGCTCTGCTCACACTAGTCGGCTTTGGCAGCAAGTCTAGAATGCTGCCTCTCAGGGTTCCGCTCAGCGGCTGGGAACACTCCTACCCCAAGCCGATGGGCTCTTTGCGCACGGCTGCTGAGTTAGCAAGGAAGCGGCACCTGGGAACTCAGCAGTCTCGAAGGCTCTCCGTTCAATCTCCTACATGCAAGCCGGCGGCCACCTGGTCCGCCCAGAACTACAGGCTTTCCTCGTTTTGTGGCGCTTCGCTCACTGCGTTTCACAGATGTTTCGTGTTTTACAAATAGAAGGCCGAACCGTCCACCAGCAAAAGGATGACGACTCACTTGATTGCGGTGGTCTGGAACGGAACCTGCACCCCCTCCGAGGCCCCACCCCCGATCTCCCTGCCTCCTTCCACCCTTGGCCCCCTAGAGTGTGGTCTCCAGCAGCACTGAAAGAACACGCCAGAGCAACGCTTTCAAAACGTTAGTCACATCAGCCTTCTGCTCAAGTGCCCAGGACCCTGGCCACCACGCTGACCTCAAGTTCCACTCCTCACCCCAAGTTTGCCGCACTCCTGCCAGCTCGGTCACACTATTCCTTGAGGAGCCACAGAGGCTCCCACTTTGGGGCCTTATGAGGACTCGGGTGTCCAGTCTGTCCAGAGGGCTTGTCCCCCGGACACCTGCATGGCCAGCTCACTGGTGCACTCAGGTCCCTGCACAAATGCCCCCCTCCTCCCTGGCAGCTCACCGGAAATAGCACCCCTCCATCCTCCCTCTCTCCACCAGCCCGACCTCTCATCATGGAACGTGGTGCCCCTCACGCCCAGGTCCACCGGTCTGTCTCGGCACCAAGTTCAGCAGCACGGGCTGGGGACGTGGCTGCGGAGGGAGCAGCGGCCGCCCACAGCAGGCGGTGGACGAAGCCCGCACACGGACTGAGAGCGCACCGTTGGTCAGTGAGGACGACGTCCGCATCCCGTTCGGGAACCACCCGCGTGTTGGACAGACACTCGGCCCTGAAGGCTCGCGCCACGTCACACGGCTGGTCCTCAACCACGTAGAGCAGGCAGCAGCCGCTCTCGTCCATTACACGCCGCAGCAGCGCTCTGCTCCCGCACCCCGCCCCAAAGACGGCCAGGCCAAGGCGGCCGGAGCCCACGGCGCCGACGCCGCGAAGCCCTCTCGTGCCCCCACGAGGCGCCGCGGTGCTGGAGGCTTCCGAGAGAAGCGTCTGGTGGGCCTGCGCTGAGGGGACCGACGGCCTTTTCACCGGAAGGGCAGGAAACGCTGCAAGGTGGCTGGCGGAGCTGGACGGCATGTGCTTCTCTCGCGCGGGCACATCCCTGGGGGAAGCGGTGGCAGCACTGGGGGGGCCCGGGAGCAGAGGTGAGCGGCCAGCAGGAGCAGAAGGCACCGCGGTGCAGGCGCTGCCCAAGAGAAGCAGTGGAGGCGGCGGGCAGAGCGGCGCGTGACTGCGCGGCGTGGCGAGGCCGGCCCCGGGGAGCTCCGAGGCTGCGCAGCTGGACGGAAGACAGCAGATCGTCACGCAGCAGGCGGGACAAGGCTCAGTGACCCCAGCCCCCCAACCACCCCACAGGCGCGCCCCGTGGGGAGCTGCTCGCTCCGCGTCTCCCGTGTGGGCTGTAAGGAAGCGTCCAGAGAACAGACCACAATAAACCCATCAGACGAGGAGGAGGGTTTCCTCTCCCCGTGAAAAGCGCGAGCAGGAAACGCGCAGCCCCCGCAGTCAGTCCCCCCGCGGGGCAGCCCCGCAGACACGACGCGCCCTCCCCCGGCCCTCGCGCGGGGTCCCGGCAGGCGGGGCGGCGCTTACATGAGAGCCGGCGCCCGGCGGCTGTGCTGCTTGAAGAGCCTGCGGTTCCGGTAGTGGCGGCCCGTGGACAGGTGGCCCAGGATGCGGTCCCGCCGCACGCGCACGGGGAGCTCACAGGCGGGGCAGTACAGCGTCTCCACCACCGACGTGTCCCCGGAGTCGCTGAGCTCGATCAGGTGCTGCTTCACCACCAAGTCCGTGAACTCGGCGGCGTAATCCTGCAAAGTCTTCTTCCGGCCCATCGCGGGGGTCCCCGGGCCCCCGGGGTGCAACGGAGGCGGCGGCAGCGCCCTCACGGAGCGGCCCCGGGAGCCGCGCTCTCCGCAGGGGGCCGCCGACGGGTCGGGGACGGGGGCGCGCTCTCCGCGGGCAGCTGACGCTCGGAGGGTCTCCGCCTCGGAACCGGGTTCCCGCGGGCGGTGGCGAGGCGGGATCTGCGCAGGCTACGGGGGACCGTGGTGGCCCCGACCCGCCGCCAGCCGCGCCCGCCACCTGCCCGGCCACGGAGGAGCCTCGGCACCTGCCTCCGCGCGACCGCCGCCCATGCCGGGCTCCCGCGGGAGGGGACGCACCACAGGCAACGACGCGCCACGAGAACCAACCTCCCGCTGCGGCGCCGCGCTTTCAAATCCCTGCGACCCCGCAACGACCCGGAACCGGAAGCCAGGGCGCGGAGCCGGGGGCGGGACCCTGGAGGGGGAGGGGCTCTCGACGCTCTGTAGGCGAAGCCCTGGACGCGGGGCGGGGCCTGGAGGGGGAGGAGCTTGCGATGTTCCGGAGGCGTGGCCCTGGGCGCGGGGCGGGGCCTGGAGGGGCAGTCCGACTGGCTCTAGCCACGCCTGTCTCCAGGTGTGGGCCACCCCCACCTCGGAGCGCTGTCTGTGTGCCTGTTGTCTCCGCGTGGAGTCTCGCCCACCAACCACATGATGTCCCTGATCGGCGAGAGGGCTTTTTTACTTAATTATTTTTGCAAAAATTGACTTAGCACTTAAAGTAGTTTTTAAATAACGAAAATCATAGGCTTTTTGGCCTTCTCAATTACCACTCGAGTCTTATTAACGAGGTCCCTGAACCACGAGCTTCTTCTTTTCCTTGGGTACAGGGACATGGGACACCTCCGCGAGGTGTGCGGCACCCGGCTCAAGCAGGCCCCTGGGCCTGGGTGCTGTAAAGAGATGCAGGTGTGCCTGTTACACACCAGCCGCAGGTGTGGGTGCCGTCATTTCACACCAGCCCAGCAGCGCGCCCCTCC